TCTCTCCTCTTTGCTCTCTCCTCTCTGTCTCCTCTCTCTCTTCTCTGTCGCTCTCGCTCCTTCTCCCAGTCTCGGCTTTGCTCTCTCTCTCTCCTCCTCTCTCTCTCTCTCTCTCTCTCTCTCTCTCTCTCTCTCTCTCTCTCTCTCTCTCTCTTTCTCTCTCTCCCTCTCTCTCCCTTTAATGTTCACCTCTTGTTCTACACTGTGGAAGTTCATTCAGTACATATAACGCAAACGTACTTTCAATCTTCCTCCGATAACACAGTAATTAATAACGATTAACGAAAAACAGTATGAACGTAAGCGATGACAACCATCCAAAATATCTTCAGTTGATCCGTCGATGCAGGGGGCGCCGCGGTCGCTACGAGACGTTCTCTTGTTGTGCAGGTACACGGTGAACCCAGACTTCGACCCTAACCTGATAAAGAACGCGTCGGCGGCGTGCGAGGGGCTGTGTCGGTGGGTGCGGGCGATGGACATCTACGATCGCGTGGCCAAGGTCGTCGGACCGAAGAAGGAGAAGCTAGCTGCGGCGGAGGAGGAGCTAGAAATGCAGATGGAGAAGCTGAACGAGAAACGCGCGCAGCTGAAGGAGGTGAGGCTCAGAGGAGGAGGAGGAGGAGGAGGAGAAGGTGAGGATAGGGAGGAAGGAGGAGGGAGGAGGATGAGCAGTGAGGGTGGAGGAGGAGAGGAGGAGGAGGCCGAGGGTGAAGAGGTGGAGGATGGGCGATGAGGAGGTGAGGCATTGGGGAGGAGAAGGAGGATGGGGTAGAAGTTGTGTGAGGGGGAGGTGAAAGGAAGGTGATGTGTGGGGGAGAAAGAGTTCATTGAATGATCAGGTATTTGAGAGAACGGGGAACAGGTGAGACACTTGTGTGGTCACAGCTGACTAAGATAAAGCCACAAAGAGAAAGATTCATTCTCCTGTGGTTCCCATTTCTCACACCAGGTGGCTGACAAGCTGCAGGCGTTGAACGACAACTTTGACGCGATGACAAGGAAGAAGAAGGACTTGGAAGACAACATCGAACTCTGCTCGCAGAAGCTAGACCGCGCCGAGAAACTGATCGGTGCGCCCTCTATATAGTAATATACATACATACTATATATACTCTACATAGCTGATCAACATATTGTGCCTGCGCCATGTAAAGTAAGTTCTAGACTTTATTTTACTGTGTCGCTCGTGCATGATGTGCCGTATGTGCGTGTGCGTGTGTGCGTGTGCGTGTGCGTGTGCGCGTGCGCGTGCGTGTGTGCGTGCGTGCGTGTGTGCGTGCGTGTGTGCGTGTGTGTGTATAGGGGCTGATGTGTGTATGTGTGTGTGTACAGGGGCTAACGTATGTATGTGTGTGTCTGTAGGTGGGCTGGGAGGAGAGAAGGACCGGTGGAGTGAGGCAGCGAGCACGCTGGCTGAAGCTTACTACAACATCACAGGTGACGTGCTGCTGTCTGCGGGAGTCGTAGCTTACCTGGGCGCATTCACCGTCGAATTCAGACAGGTTCGTGTCTCCCACCAAACCACCAAGCCACCAGTGTTACCGTACGCTATGTGCTAGGTGACAACACAGAGTGTTGTGATAGACACCTATTTCGCTCGGTGGATTGTATTCAGTTTCGTTTGTTGTTAGTAGGATTAGGCAGGGGATATGGAGGTGGAGGCGATTTCATTATAATTTAAATATAGAATTTGGATTAAAGAGAGAGAGAACGAGAGAGAAGGAAAGAAAGAGAGAGAGAGAGAGATAGAGAGATAGGGAGGGAGAAAGTGAGAGTGAGAGAGAGAGAGAGAGAGAGAGAGAGAGAGAGAGAGTGTGTGTGAGTGAGAGAGCGAGAGACAAACAGACAGATACAGGGCTACATGGAGGTTACTAATAGATTAAATTAGAATTTAGAAAGTCAAAGAGAGTGTGAGATTTAGATAGAATAGAATAAATTAGAATTTAGATATTGAGCGTTGATAGTTAATGAGTATATAAGGGTGATTCACACACGCTGTGTCGTGGCCATGCCTTGCAGGAGTGTGTCGCGGAGTGGCATGGATGTTGTCAGCAGAGAGGCATTCCCTGCTCGCCTCTCTTCTCTCTCAACGCTACGCTGGGAGAACCCGTCATGATACGTGCCTGGCAGATAGCGGGCCTTCCTGTAGACTCCTTCTCCATCGATAACGGTTAGTACGCACCTAGCATGTACATACCTACCCGACAATATAGTATAACATATCAGTGACAACATGTACCACCATAGTACAATACAACATGTACCACCATAGTACAATACAACATGTACCACCATAGTACAATACAACATGTACCACCATAGTACAATACAACATGTACCACCATAGTACAATACAACATGTACTACCATAGTACAATACAACATGTACCACCATAGTACAATACAACATGTACCACCATAGTACAATACAACA